CTGCTCTCTGCGTTTAGACTCCCCGAGTTCCCGAGGACTGTGCTCGAAGACTCGCGAACCGGCTTCGGGTTGCGTACCGCCACGACGGTATCGACCTGCCGCGATTCATCGCCTCGACCGTCCACCGGCCCTCCCGCCCATCCTCTCTCTCTCTCTCTCTCCTCGTCCTCGCCCCGAGACCGTCCCGAAAACTCGGTTGCTTCTTCCCGAAACGAATTGGTCGCGTCCGCGGCACTGCGACCGATCCTACTACCGACTCCCGTCGACTTCAATTTTACGACATCAGCCCGCCTGCGCGCTAGCTAGCCACCCTCCGGTCCCTCGGCGAGCCTCGATCGTTCTTTTTCTTCGGCAACGCCGTGACACGAACACGCCGTATCCCCGTTGTTCCAAGAATTCACGTACGCGTCATAAATAGTGCCCTGCTCGCACTCTGCTCGCTTCCCCCTCGCCTCTTCGTCCCCTATCGCCTCGCCTCGCCGCTTCCTCTCCGCTCCTCTCCGATTTCTCGCGCGATCCGACGTTTTCCAATATTCCAAACTGCACCGATTCCATCTGGGGTCCCTTCGAAGCTTCTTCAACGTCCCCCGCCCCTCTTTCTTTCTTTCTTTCTTTCTATTTCTCGCTCTATCGCTCTCTCTTCGTTTCGCTCGCTCGGATCCACTTGTTCTCTCTCTCCCTCTCTCCTCCTCGTTCCTTCCATTCTCGAAGTCCACCTCGACCGCTCTCTCGTTCCGATTCGTCTCGTCTCGTTTCGTTTCGGGTTTCGATTGGTTCTCGTTTCCGGAAACTTTTGGAACCGGAGTCGAAGCCGGGCGCGGCGACGATCGACGCGCTCGATACGGATCTATCGCGTTGAACGCGAACGGGAGCGCGGAGGATTTCTCGACGGCTCGCGAAAATGGAATTGGCGCGAAACGTTTTACGAGCATGCGCGTCCTTCTCGCCGGTCGTTTCTCGTTTCGTCGTCGTTTCTCGTTCTCGGCACGAGCTCGTTGCGCGGCGACCTTTAGCCGACGGATCCCTTCGAGTCGTAGCTATCCCCCTTAACTCCGCGCCGCTCTCTCTCTCTCTCCTCTCTCTCACTCTCTCTCGACCTCCCTCTGCAACTACCGCCGCGCAGCCACCCCCGTCACAGCCAACCCTGACCTGATTTATGGGACTCTCCGAGCGTCTACCCTGCCGACGCGCGCGTTTTCGAGCCTCCCTTCCCCTACGTTTCCTCCCCGACCCGCTCGCGTAGACAGCTGGCTGGCGTTTCCATGAACGAGCTTCCACTTTCCATCGTATCGTGCTCGCTATCGGTTCTCATCGCGGCGCCGAGCCGCCGAAAACCCCGCGCGTAACCCACAAACGACACGAAACCCGCGTTCCTCGTCGGCGTTCCTCGGCGTCCCGATGCCTTCGCGTTTAGCCGTGTCCGCCCGACTCTTCCCCCGTCCCTCGTCCCGCCCCCCTCTCTCTCACCCTCTCTTCTTTTCTCATCCGCCCTCTCCATTTTCTCCGTAGATACGGTCGAGTAATATAGTGGCCCCTGCATCTGTTCCTCGAGTGACGCAACGTCCCGTCATAGATCACAGCCAGGCTTTTAGAGAGCGAAGGCTGTTGGGCAGAGTGCAGGCGAGAGAGCCGGAGAGAAAGAGAGCGGTGCCGGTGCCGGTGACGGTGTGCTGGTGACGGGACGCGACCAGCCAGACGCCGGAATGAACCAACGACGCGAGTATAGTGTTCACAGAGTCGGGAGACGCCGATTCGGAAAGCGAGAGCGAGGGAGAGAGAGAGAGAGGGAGAGACGGCGGGCCGAAAATATTCGTCCGAGAAAGAGAAACAGCAACGGGGACGATAAAGGCAAAAGTAACGAGGACCGAGGGACGAACCTGGCCGATAGAAACCGACCCGTTCGGGGAACAGAGAAAGGAACACCCGACAGAGTGACGAACCGTTACCGCTCAAGTCGGCTGCGAGACGCAAAGCACGCGAGCGAGAGTGCTACCGGCGTCTCTGGTGTCTCGTAAACGGGACGCGAAGTAAAACGTAAAATCCATTGCCAGGGGAAGCTTTGGTCGGAGGTCGTCGTCGTCGTCGTCGTCGACGGCGGCGGCGGCGGCGCACCGACGATACGGAGACGTCGTAAATACGGGCATAATTATGGCAATCTGAGATATAGGATCGATGCACGGGATCGTTACGTACACAACTGTGTACGTAACTACGTTACAGTCTCAGATCGAGACACTAAATTTCAGCGTTGTTTCGTTTTTATTTTTTTCCTCTTCTTTTTTTTCCCTTAACACGTTCCGCGCCACGTGCACCACCAATGGTACACGCTTTGCACGTTTATTTAACGCTGGATTTACGAACCACGAAATACAGATGTTTTATATTAGGTGAAAGAAACAATAAGAGATTTATTCTGATTTTTGACGAGCGTTATTGTATGTTACAATTTGTAAGTAACATGTAAATTGAATAAATAACTCGTAAATGTGTCTTCTCGATATGAATAATCGTAAATGAAAAAATTAGTGACCCGTCATTTTGACGGGTTCCGTAAATATAGTGTCAACTGTGTAGAACTACCGAGCTCTAAATACAATTAATGTGTATTGACTTATGTTATTAAATTAAAATAATTGCGGTTTTATTTAAACTTCGTACGGTTTCTATTATAACATATGGCTGATTAAACAAGTTTTTATCCAAGTATTTTTCGCGGAAATATTTTTATAATATCAGGAATCGTAGAAAAAATTGGAAACCAGTTATTTTGACTGGATTGGTAGTTCTAGCGTTAACGCGCTGGGAAGATATTTTTTAACGCGTTCAGGACTGAGGAATTAGTTTCCACCGATAGAGTAGCTCGTGATAAATTTGTTTCGTTATTTAGTAATTAATAATTGCATGTGATACATGAATTTTTAGTCGAAATGTTACATGGCCGGAGTGGAAGGCGAAGTAAAATTCGCTTCGTCAGAAACTGTTCGCAGTTATTATTATTTATTTATTCAATGTTTACGAGGAATTATCTTACTGGAAGCGATCAATTAAATCGTTTGTCGATCGCCGATCTATACGAAACCAATCCGGAATTCGGTCGACCGAGGCTTCGCGGAGCATAGTTCGAAATTAGTCGACGAGATCGTCTTTTCATCGTTGCGAAAGCGAAGCAAGGTGGACTAACAATTATCGATGTACTTCCCGTTTTTGAGATTTCTTCGCGAAACTACCCCCCGAGTAGTACAACTCGGTGACGAGTCCGGCGAGAAATCTCCCTGATATCCTCCGCTATTCTGCAAATACAAAACGCGAAAATCTCGAAAACTGTCCCTTAAAAAATCACGAATGCCAAGAATGCCTCGATTTTTACGTTTGGAGGGCCGGAAAGCCAAGTCAATTCGAGTCACGACCGGACTGCGGATTTTTATGCGTTTATGGCGCATGGAAGATTTTAGAACGGAATTATATATTATAATCAATAATAATATTATAATAATATTATTCGTAATAACAACTGATAACTTTATTTATAGATAAAGCCTTTGTTACGGCGTAAGAAAATAATAATAATGTAACAGTCACGCAATTATTATTCTACGTTTGCTGCGAGGAATTTTCTAGTCTATGCAAGAATTTCTTTCCATCCTCACATTTTCATGAGCAATATTAATATCCAAGAGCGAGGATTTGCACAGAGATCGACAGTAAAATTGTCAAAGTTCATAGAATTTATAGAATGTATAGAATTATTGTTTCGATGACAAATAAAACCGAATAAGAAACAAACATAACGCGACAGTATATTTACGAAAAAAACTACCTGCTTCGCGCAGCACATATAGTAACAATCCGCCGAATGAAACTGCGGACTTGTACGAAAGAATGTTTCCACCCCTCCGCCTCTGCGAATCGATTTAAAGTTGCATAGCCGCGCGTACGCTCGAAAGTCGCTCGGCTTAAATTAAAGCTGCACGCGTCCCCTTTAAGATGGGACGCTTGTTCCACGTTCTCGCGGCGATCCCGCGAATACATGCATCGCAGAAGACGACGACGACGACTGGCGGAGTATCGTAGCGCGTTGCGCGTGGCGGCGCATCGTCGTCGCCGGTGTGCATCGGTCGAGGTTAAATTCTCGCAGACGCGGGAAGAGCGGCGAACGATGGGGGGACGCGAAACCATTCGCGACGATATACGGCCGAGAGTTTGTTTGCGCTTATGGTCTGCGTCTAGAGAAGGTGGGGGACGCTGGGAAAGGGGTGGCGAGGGGTTGCCGCTTTATCGAGTCACCCTTACGCCTATTATGCCTACCCGGCATCCCCCGATGGTAGCGCTTTAACGCGATCATCCCCTTACCGCTTCCACCGCCGCCAACCCCCACCAACACCCTCGCCACCCCCGTTCTCGCTGGTGCCGCTGCACAGTTTCGGCGTTCGGTCGCACCGCGTCCCGTGCCTACCGGCTGCCCGAAGTCAACGCGAACGGCGACGCCGACGCCAACCCCGACCCCGAACCCGAACCCGGCGCCGACGCCGACCGAGGTCCGCCGATCCCGACCGAGGTCCGACGACGCCGGGTGACGCGGCGCGCGAATTAAAACGCCTCATAAATATCTGAAACAAAGGCGGCCGCTTTTGAGGGCGTACGGTGGAAAGATATACGGCCGGTTAGGAGGGCTGGTAACGGCCGAATATAAGGGGGTGGAGTTCGGGGCCAGGGGGGCGAGACCGGGGAAACGCGGTCGCCGCTGTTGGGGAACGCTGTCCTGGCGCGTCTGCAGCCCCTACGAAAAACACTGTCCGCGCGGCTAGCAGATAATTTTCTTCGAGTGCGGAGGGAAAATTGGAGGGACGGGGAGAAATAGGGATAGAGGGGAGAAATAGGGATAGAGGGGAGAGAGGGTGGAATGGGAGCGATGATTTTGTAACCGATCCGTAGGGAAAGGAATCCGCGTCGCGATCGAGGGAAGCACATTTTTCTGACCATTCTGACTTTTTCTATTTCAGGTAAGTAGTGGTCTCCGATCGTTTGAAAAGCGAGCGGTTCTCAGCCGCCGCACCGGACGGGAGACATGCGCAGCAAGCAGCAGCCAAGGCCTTCCTTTCGGTGGCCGCAACAACGCGGCGATAATCTTACCGGTAAATATCTCTCTCTCTCTGTCTCTCTCTCTCTCTCTCAAACGCAATGTGTAGGTACGCACGAGCAACGCACGCACGCGCGCGCCAACTTTCGCACGCATGTCCAGTTTGCATCTTTGAACGAGCGCCTCGCTTCACCCTTTGCTTTCGCGCTCGCTTCTTCTCGCTACTCGCTTCACGCTACTCCGCTCGGCAGCGTCTTCCTCGTTGCTGTCATCGCGCCGATCCGATCCATCCGAAAGGCTGGAGGCGAACGAGCGTCGAATCGACTGTCGTTTGTTGTCCTTCGTTCCTTTGTCATCGGTAGACGAGGATAATTTGTTTTTGTTTTTAATATTGAACTTCTCGCGATGACCTTTTCGACCGATTTCACAGTTTTTTTTTATTTTAAAATCGTCGTCGCCTTTTATAGAAAATTAGTGAAATTGATTTGCATATCCAAGCGTACGTTATAGTAAAATTGATGAGACGTTTGAGTACAGTAAATTCTTCTAAAATTGACGCTAAGCTTGAAAAGAAAAATGGATGATTTTGGAAGAGAAGGCACGATTGTTCCAGTCTTGCGGCACGTTTTGGTAACTATGAAAACGATAAATCGTATCTCCTCTTTCCAAATTGTCCATTCTTGTGCACAAGCTGAGCGTCAATTAAGAGAGAATTTGCTTGTCATTCTTATAAAACAACGCGCGTTAATCGCTTTCGATGCTCGGTAAGTTTACTGTGAACCATTTGCCCCGAATAGCGGACCCTGAGACGACGCTGAAAATTGCTACACCATTTGTCCAAGTAGTTTCTACACGATTAAATAGCTTTACAATTAAACAGTTGTTAAAAATGAAAAAGTATGTACCAGCAAACAATTCAGTCAGTCAATTGAATGCGACACAAAACTAATAAAAGAAATCAAAGTACCATAGGTTGGACGAAGTACCATAGTTTTCAAGGTAGAACAGCTTCGAGTGCAAAGGGTTAACTAGAAAAACAAGGCAACGTCGAATTTGACGCTCGCGTGTCTCCGGTCCAAAGGAACACCGTTTTCTGCGATCGATCGCGATTCATTCCCTCTGCTTGCACGCCGCAACGTTTCTCGATCGCGGCACTCTTGCGGAGAAATTCCCGCGGTGGTTACAGCGGGGGAAATTACGCGTTGGAGGTGGACGTACCGGGTGTTCTCCGCGATCCGTCGAGGCTGGATAAACGCGGAGTCGTTTAGGCGACGTCGCTCGGCTCGGTTTCGCCCGAGCACCCTTTAATTTCCACCCCCGCCGCGTAATTTCCTCCGCTACACCCACGGTGGGAATTCCTCCGGCCACGCTGGTCGCGTAGCGCACGATTCCGCATGTCGCATTTCGCCTCGGAACGTAGCCAAACGACGAATCTTGCGTCTCCCGACCTTTTATCTCCCCGCCCGCGTTATCGTTGCGGCACAATTGTCGCGAGTCCGACGAGCAAGCCGCGATCTTCGCCGAAACGATCGGGAAATCACGGTGCCGCGGCGTGCGTGCGTGCGTGGGCGGTGATCGTCGTCGTCGTCGGCGTCGGCGTCGGTCGAACGGGGTTGTCGAAGGACACGGCGACTGCTCTCCGCTTCCGATAGCCGCTGCTACCTAGCCTTTGCTCGCGAAAGCTGCTCCCGACGAGCAATCCGCGAGTGACGTGACACGCGAAATTCTGTATTCACGATCCGGCAGCCCTGGAATATCGGCGGACGTCTAAACGAACCGTTGTACCTTCTGCTTTGATTTCAAAGAGCGGATCCCTAACAGCGGAGGAATATTCATTTAAATATCTGTCGATACTCGAGTCCGACGCGAGGATTGCAGCGATGTCAGCGGCGGACTTATGTGCCCTCCGCGCGTTCTCGGTTCCCCTTCTCGGTCTCGCTTCCCCTTTCCCCGTTTCATTACCCCTCTCTCCTGCGGGAAGCCCGCGTACTACCTGTCTACCTGAACGCGTTATAGAGCGCGGGTATCCTATACTCGGACCGCCGGCCGACGTCCGATCTCTGTCGCGGATACGCGTTCGATCCCCGCTCTTTGTTCTCCGACGACCTCGCTCCCTTCGGTTTCTTCGATCGTTTCACCCCTTGGTCCACTGTCGCCGCGACTTCGCCGTCTCCCCGGCCGTTTCGTCGGCCGCGTAAATATCGTAATCGAGCCGGGAAAACAAAGGGACAGATCTCGAAGCCGGAGGTGCGGCGGCACCGGCAGTAGGAAGGAAGGAAGGAAGGAAGGAAGGAAGGACGGAAGGAAGGAAGGAAGGAAGAGAGTGGAAGGGCGAGGGTGGAAGGAGAGGGGACCGAAGCGAAGGAAGGACGGAAGATGCAAGTTTGCCGCCCGAGGGCAACATTTCGCGTGTTCCTCCCCTTCCGTTGGTACCCCCTTCCGCGGCGCTCCCTTCCGTCGGCGTTCCCGCGCGTAGCCCTACTAGCAGCATTTTAATCCGGCGAACCGACGTCGCTCCGCCGCGCCGCGCCACCCCGAATAATCAGGCTGAAATTCGTTGTCAGCGGAGGCAGGCAAATTGTCGCGAAACGCAACAAAAGAACGAGATATTAGCCGACTACGGGGCTCTGCGGCTGTGCCGGCCGGACTGCATGCTCCGCGACTCCTATGCAAGGGACGAGGAGAAGGAGACCGCGAGGACGTGGTGCGGGGAGAAAAAGGGGGGCTGCTTGACATCGTCGACCGCGGTTGATTTCATCCTTCCGGGCTTGCAGCCGCGATCGCCGTCGCGCGCGCGCCGATTTTCGAGCGCAGCGAAAGAAAAGAGCAACTGCATCGCCGTCTCCGGCGTCGCCGCGGAGATACAACAACTAGACGGCCTTGCGCTCTTTCGCGACGATCTATTCCATTATCTTGATCGTGATACCGCGTCCAGATATCGATTAATTATCGGGTTTTCCAGTCGACGCGTTTGCATACGCCACCGCGAGACATTGATCGATCGAAAATTTATGTCTGCGCTCACGCTCGCCGGCTTGTTTTTCCGCGCGGCGCTCTTTCCAGCTCCGTCACCGCGCCTGCCGCCTCTCTCGGCGATTTGATTTCTGCACCGATCGAAATTTCACGGACACGCGAAAACAGCGGAGCCCGATCGGCCGCGCCGGGCCCGATCGCGAGAAAGTTGGAAGCCCGCGCGCGCGAGCAGGCGGCTCCGGCTGAGGGACTCGCCGCGAGGTCGTTAAAAAGAGAATAGCTTAGAGCCGCGCGCGGCACGGAGCGAACCGGAGTAAAACGCGCGCGGATGGGTTGCGGTAGGTTGGTGTGTGCGTGCCGGTTGGCTCTCGAAGGAGCGAGAAACGGCGCGGGCGCGAGTGCAAGGAGAGCGGAATGAATCGCTGCCACTCAAGGAGCAGTCGACGGACGTGCCGGACGGGCTGACAAGGCCGCGCTCATTCCTCTCTCGTAGCTCGTAGCTCGTAGCTCGTAGCTCGTCGCTCGTTTCTCGTTGCCGGTTGCTCGCCGATGCTGCGCTATCCGAGAGCACGCTTCCAACCAACCGCGTCGATATAACTGTCCACTACCGATAACTACGACGAGTTACGGTTGCTAAGCGCGCCATCGTTGTCGCGATCGCGATGAGAGAGGAGAGCTTCCCTGTCTCCGTGACACTCGCGACTTTCCGTCTTTGTCGCGTCCACTTCTTTGTCCGCTCCCGCGCCGCCCCGTCTCTCTCTCCCTCTCTCTCTCTCTCTCTCTTTCTCTCTCTCTCTCTCCGATTCTCTCCTGTCTCCTCCGCTCGTCGAATTAGTCGCGCTCGCTCGCGCTCGCTCGCGCCTGCTCGCGCTCGCGCGGTGTACGTTTGGTCGTCCATCCATCTACGTGTCTCCCGTACGTAACGCGTATCCCACACTCTCGGACTCGGCTTAATTATAATACGGAGATATTTATTACCGCGCGTATCGTCTATTTCCGTCGAGCGGTCCGTAGGAGGACCGGCTCGCCACGGCGAAGCGATATCGCGGACGCGAACCAAACTGGCTCTCCGTTGTCGAGCAGAAGAGATCGACGGAGGAGCGGACGATCGGCCCCGGCCGCGGATGAAAAATGCACGGCGAAACTGTGCCGTGGTTCGGACGCACGACAAAGAAAGGGGGTTTACCCGTGGAACGACGAGGAGACTCGTCGGAACCTCGCGGCGCGGCGATCCGCGCGATTCGTGGATCGCGATCCACGGACGGCGCGCCGTGGCTGCGGGTCGCGTGTTCTTTCGTTTCGGATTAATGCGAGAGGACGGTTGATAAGACGGCGTCGAATAATACGGTCCTCCTCCACCTGCCAGCGGGCGGCAGGAGGGCTCCTCCGTCCTTTTTAATTCAGCAGGGCCGGCGGCGGCGGTCCTGGTCTCGCTAGATGGTATCGTCGCCGTGGCTCTAGCGATTTCCAGGCGAGCCTTTCAAACCGAGCAACAATAGACTTTCCGAGCGTCGCGTCAAAAGCGTCCAGCTGCTTTCTGCTTCCCGCGCTCCGCGCGCGCGATCTCGTTCCTCGCGGTTGCTTTTCGAACGGCGAATCCGCCGGCCTTTTCCGTCTCGCGCGGCCGGAGATGGACGCGAGAGAGCGGCGATCGCGCGACATCGAGGCAAAGGCAGAGGCGGTGACAGTGGCGGTCGCGGTCGCGGTCGCGGTCGCGAGAGAACATCGTATTTTTAACGGTTCGTTCGGCCGGACTCGGCGGCGGCGCCGAACGCATCGGGAGAGCGCCGATGGAAGCTCGCGGCAAAAGACGATCGTTTCCTACGATCGGGCCGGCGCGGGCCGGCGCATTCCCATCGACGTCAATTATTCCGATTACACCCAACCTGGTTATGCTTGTCGGAATCAATCGGTGGGACGCGATAGGAATAAGAAGAAGCCATCGAAGAGACCTCGCTTTCGCTTCTCTCGTACGCGTCGCGTCGCGTCGCAATTAATATCCTCGTCGCGACGACCTCGATCCGTCTCGATGCACCTGGCTTTCGTCTTGTCTCGCGCACTCGGACGATGACTCGGGACGAC